CGGCCCCTTCCCGCCCTCGGACCCTCACAGCCCTGCCCGCCCCCAGAGGCTGGGCACAGATGGGGTCCCCGTCCCCCTGCTACGGTTGCGGCTTTCCCGTGTATCCAACACGGATCCTCCCCCCGCGCTGGGACCGCGACATGGAGCGTCGCAGCACGCACACCCACTCCTGCTCGGCCGCCGACTGCTACAACCGGCGAGGTGAGGCCCTGGCCAGGTGAGGTCCCTGGTCCCCGCGGCCTCCCCGCTTCCGGGGTGGGCCTCTCCACCTCTGTGACCCTCCATGCCGAGGTCACCTACTACCTGTGTGTTTTTACATTGCAGAGGGTGCCAGGGGTGGGGGTCAGGCCCCAGTCCTTCCTCTCTCCCCATCCTGCTGACAGTTGGGGTGCACACATACCCGTACCTGGTGTGTTTTTTTTCTTTAAGTTTTGCTATGGGGTGCATGCCCTTTCCAGAGAAGGAAAGTGAGCAATCACCCCCCGGGGGAATTGGCCAGGCTGCAATCCTTTCTCCTCCATTCTCCTCTTGGGGATCTCACACACACGCGCCCATGCGCTCAGCGTGTTTTTTAAGGTGCCGGGTCTGGGCTTCGAACTGCTAAGTTGGCTATGTGGGATCCAGAGGCCTTAACCTCCATTCCTCCACCCCATAACCTCTGGTAGGATTTCCAAGCTATCGGGGCCGGGATTTGAACTGTGGTGGGCCATGTGGATCTGGTGCCCTTAACCACCAAGCTACGGGGCTGGCCCGTCACTCCAGGGCAGGCCCACACACCTCCTTCAACTCCCGTGGCATCTGCCTGCATGCACGTCTCCCAGGATCCCCTGGTCTCTGTGGTCTCTAATCTCACACCTCTGTCCTGCCTGGTACACCCCCCCCCATGGCTCAGCTCCAGCTTCGATTCCCCCCCCAGGGGCAGGGTCACACTGCAGTCCCTGCTCCTCCATCCTTCTGTCCTGTCAGGATTTGGGGCACGCACACACATGCATCCGGCATGATTTTCAAGCCATGGGGTCTGGGACTTGAACCGCAGTCGGCCAGGTGGGATCCAGCGGTGTAACTGCTACACCATCTGCCGGTCCTACCCCGGGTGTTTTTCAAGGACTCAAACCATGTGTTCGGCCGTGGAGGACCCAGCCACTTTAACCACCAGCCGTGGAGCTGGCCCATCTCCCGTGGTCTCGTCTTAGGCTCTGGGTTCCCCAGTGGCCCATACCCAGGTCCCATGGTCTCAGAGTTCTTGTCTCCTTTCCTGGGTCTCCAGTGACCCACATCCTCAGCTCTGGCCCCATATCTTAGGGTATCACCCCATGTGAACTCGGCCCCTTTGAACCCAGAGCCTCGTAGGACCTTGCGCCGAACTGTCTCCTTATCCTCTCACCAGAATAAAAGTCCTGACCTCATTAGCTCTCCCTCCCCAGAGCCCCACGTGCCCGGGACCTCCTGTGCGCACCCTAAGAGCCGGAAGCAGAACCACCTGCCCAAAGTCCTGCACCCCAGCAACCCCCACATCAGCAGTGGCTCCACCGTGTGTACATGCCTGAGCCAAGGCGGCCTCCAGGAAGACCTGGACAACCTCATCCTGGAGGACCTCAAGGAGGAGGAGGAAGAGGAGGAGGAGGAGGAGGAGGAAGGCAGGCCCCGAGAGTGAGCCCTGCCAGGCGTGCACATGAACCAGACACGGTCTGTGGCTACTTTGTGTTATAAAATGTGAACTCGAACCCAGACGCAGAGATGCAGGTGCCCTTGGGGAGCCCTCCGGCCTGGAGGTACCGGGGTGGGGGGCGCCGGGGATGAGGTCCGCAGAGAGAGGGGTCTGTGGGACTCGTTCTGCGCTGAGCCACCAAGTGGCCAGGACCACGGCAGCTCTTGCTGACTGATGTCCCCTGGGGTCTGGGGGACAGATGGACAGACGGTCACAGCCTCAGGGGCCGGATCAGCATGGCGGCCTTCTTGAGGGAGTATGCCCCTCCGCGAAACTCAGCCCAGTAGACACCGTCCTGGTAGCGGCTTCGGTAATGGCCGCCACGGTGCCAGACGCCGTTGAGGTTGGAGTGGGCACAGGCGTGGTACCACCAGCCTCCCCGCTGGTACAGGGCGCAGTTGCCTGAGCAGAGAGAGAGTCCGTGTCATCTCCGAATAAAAGGCTCAACCAGCATTTCACGGTGCGAGGCTTTTGCCAGGCACCCCGTGGCCCTTTCTGCTCTGTTTTAGTAGAAGCTTTGATCCTCCATCTCCTCACCAAAATAGAAGTCCTGGCCTCCCATTTTCTTCAGAGTAATAGCCTTCACTCTTCCTTGTCTTCTAACCAAAGTACAAATCATGCCTTTCCCACCTTTTCTGCAAAATAGAAGTCTACTGCTCATTCCTTTATCAAGGAAAAATAATCTCCTTTACTTCCTTTCTAGAATAAGAGTCCTAGCTCTCATTTCTGCCCTGCAGCAGAATAGGAATCCTGACTCTTTAATTGCCTCATCAGAGAAAGAATTGTCTCCTTATCCCCTCACCAGAATAAAAGTCCTGTCCCTAGTTCTCTTGGCATAATGGAAACTTGCTTACCCTGATGTTTACGAGAGGAGTGTCTTACCCCATCTCCTCTCATTTCCTCACCAGAACACGAATCTCACCTCCTTCCCTACCCTCCCACCAAAATAAGAGCACCCCTTACCAGAATAAGAGTCTCGGTCCCTGTCCACAGTGCTGAAGGGCTTGTCGCTATGCCAGGAAAGAGAGTCTCCAGCGTCACCATGGTACTGGCCAAGCCGCAGGCGGTAGTGGTCGCTCTCGGGCTCCAGGGAGAAGCTGTCGTAGTGGGCACGTGCCCCGCGGCCCCCCCAGTCCTCCAGGAGCACCAGCAGTTCGTGGTCCCCCCGGCTGGTCAGCTGATGGATGGGCTCCAGGCCCAGCCAGTATTCCCCGTCCGGGCGCCCAAAGCCCACCTGGCGGGGTGGGTCAGGGCAGGGGCGCCATCTTCACCAGGACAGGCTCCTGCCCCGGCCCACGCCCACACACGCCCGTCCACACCCACCTTGTAGTGCTGCCACGTGGTGAAGAAGTTGACCGAGCCATCCTGCCGCCGCTGGACCACCGTCCAGCCCCCGCCCTCCCGCTGCTGCTCACACCACACCGACACCACCTGGCGGCCCAGGCGTAGCTGGTACACTCCACTCTCCCCGTGGCCTGCCCGGTGGGCCTCCGCACAGTCCCGCCACGGGCCTGTGGGCACAGGGATGTGGGCAAGGCGTCGCCTGGGCCAACCAAACGCGACGGGAGTAAGAATCCTGATTCTCACTGGCCTCCTCGCCAGAATAAGAGAACTGCTTCTCAGAATAAGGGCCCTCACCTCTTATTACCGGAGGAAGATTCTAGGTTCCTCGTCTCTCTCAAGAGGAAATACGGAATCTAGATCCTTTAGCCCTAGTTCTGTAGGTCTCCTCGCCAGAATACAAGTCCTGAACATGGTACTCTGAACCAGCTTAAATTCTCCACACAGTAGCAATCCCAAATTCCCCAGCCCTCCATCAAAATAAGAGTGCCCTTTCTCCAATTTCCTCCCCCATGTTCTATCTCTCTATTTTCATATCATAGTAAGTTTTTTGGTTTTTGTTTTTAATTCAGAGTAAGAGCCACATCTCTGTTCTGTTACTAGAATGACTGCGTCCCGTCCTCCAGTCCTCCATGAGAAGAACCCGCCATTAAAACCTTGGCTCCTCTGTTTTGCTCTCCCCACCCTGCCCTGGGAACCCCCTGGCCCCTTACACACCCAGCAGCCAGCCCCTCATCTTACCCGCTGGCTTGGTGGGGACAGCAGGGGGTCCTGTGGTGGAAGGAGAGGCCAAAGGCCCCTGCTGTCTCGGGATCTGGTCTCCCTGGGGCTCTGGGACCGGATCTGGCCTCCGGTTAGTGTCGCTGGGACCACCCACCAGGCTGACCGGAACCACAGGTACCAGGGGCGGTGGCAGGACCTGGAGTGACCGAGAGGCAGAAGTAATGGCAGTGACCTCGGTTTAGGGGTCCTGGCCTCCTCAGGGGCTCGGGACAGTGGGTCAGTCTAGCCCCTGGGGAGCAGATCAGGAAGGGTCTGCCCAGTCCTGGGGCTGCTCTCCGAAGCCTGACTCCTGGGACTCCAGCACGCGGCTGGACACCAGAGCCACTGTGGTGCTCAGGACTCGCTGCCCCGCCCCTCTGTCGCCTTTCCTGGAAAGGGGGGGAAAATACATCCAAGAAACCTTGAACCTGTTGACTCCTCCCACCAACCCCATGAGGGCGGGGCTGTCAAAGAACAACAATCCCTTATCCAAAACTCTTGGCCAGACCCATTCCAAAATTCAAACTAACACTGTAAGACTGAGACGCGGCAAATAGAAAGGCACCAGTAAGGGACCAGTAGTTGGCGTAATGGCTATGTCGCTGGACTCCCATGTAGTCGACCTTGGTTCGAGTCCTGGACCTGGTGAGAAGGGATTGTGGCGTGGCCATCGCCCCCAACCGGGGGAGTAATTTCTCACTTTCTGTGTCTTTCTGGCGGGCCCATGCACCCTATAGCAAAAAACCTCTCCAAAAAAAAAAAAAAAAATGCATCAGTAAAAGGTTCATGGAAAATGTATTATGAAAAAAAAACATGGATTTCAGAAAAAATTTTTGAGACCAAAATAAATTCGCCCTTTAATTCCTTTCCCATGAACTTTTTAAGGTACCTTCATTTACACAGTAAAATATACATAACACCCCCCCAGCAGAGTCTTTGATCTTTCAGGAGATAAAAATGCTTGACTACACGATCCAATAAATAGTCACATTAAGTTGATGCACGACTCTAAATAACCACCAGCCACGTTTTAACCCAAATACGTTACAAAAAGAGAGGAGTAGGTTCCCGCCTTTTGTAGTTTTCGGATTTCGGAATTGCGGATAAAACTCAGGGTTGCAAGAGCCTCATCTCAGACCCCGTGCACGGAAAGCGGCAGCTATCCCCGCAGGCTTGAGGTTACCTGTTGCTGCCCGCCCGTGCCCCCCGGGCACAGGCGCTCCAGGCGGGCGATGAGGCTGCTCTGCTGGCTGACCAGCTGCGCCAGCTCGCGGAACTTGACGTCCAACTGGTGGAAGCGGGCGGCGGCGCGCTGCGCCTCGGCGGAGGCATTGAGCACGCGCTCCCCGAGCAG